GAAGGAAGGAAGGAAGGAAGGAAGGAAGGAAGGAAGGAAGGAAGGAAAAAGGGAGAGAGGGAAGGAAAAGTTGTTTAAAATGAGGTAGTTCCATGTTTTATGATTTAAAAGTATATGAAAGCCAAATGTACACATTCTCACCTACTTAACATGCAAGTTTGGGGATGTAATCTTTCAGCAAACAATAGGCTTATTGGTTATAAAAACTCCAGTGGAAGTTTCTTACCAGTGTGTGCTTTTTTCATGAAGAAAAGGTAGAAAAACGATTTGGAAATGAGCCACCTTTATTTTTAAATTCCTTAGTCAACATGTTGCCACAGCAACCAAACTTCTTGCTATCTGGGAAAAGACGGATGCCTTTGCTTCAATCAAGATGCAAATCTAGAGGAAAAAAAAGCAATGAAAATGCTTCATTTCATTATTTGAAAATGTGAATTGTCCTGAGCTGGCTTTAAGCCATAGTTCTTATCCACAGTATCCATCAACATGCATTCAAGTCCCTCAAAACTGCAATAGTTCATTTTCATTAATTAAATAATTACATCAAATGCTGTCTCATGATAACATTCAGTTGAATTCATTCATTGACAAAAATGGCATTATTCAATTTTAAATAGTTTGTATTATTAGTCAGTTTATTGAAAAAGATGACGGTAAGTCTATTTAATAAGAGTGGTGGTATCCAGAGGAAAATAAAAATGGGAACCACAAAAACTACTGAGAAAAAGGACCAGAAAGTCTCCTTTATTTTAACATTGTTGTTGACCTATATATGCTTATTTCTTAACCCTTGAATTTTAACTAAAATGAAGGTAATTTTTGAATGTTTAACAAGAACAAAAAGAGTACAAGAAGAGACAACAGTAGACAAGAGATTACAACAAATTTTTGAATATGGGAAATAAATAGGAAGTTAATTAACAAAATTGAGATGTTTGAGAAAAAATGCTGAACAGTGAACAAGTGCAGAGAGAATTACAGATAGACTCAAGAGTGAGGTCCCGAAAAAGCAGAGTGCTAAGACAGAAAATACAAAAAAGAGCCAGTGAAAATTGGGCTTCAAGAAAAGTCAGAGCTTTTAGCTCCGTTTCACCTACTGTGTGTTGGAAAGGAAAGGGAAATTTCATGCTGGAGGCTTATACAACAGACAGACAAAGTGAAGATGAAGGGGAAGCTCAGTTCTGGAAGTAAAAAAAAATTTACATATTAAATATTAGACTCTACAATTTCCTTTCCCATGCTGCGATTAGAATTCTCACTTAGAAGGATTCAACCTTCTAGGTATAAAGTTAAACAACATTCATTTGAAGAATTGAAAGCAAAAACAACACACACACGTACATTTTAGTATCACTCCAGTAGAAGAAATAGCTTGTTACCAAACCACCCAGATAAGAATCCCACAAGTTAATAAGCCCTTCTCACATGTACAGAGTTTCTGATCTACATTAACTTGTTGCATACTTCATTACACATAGCCCAAAGGCTAAAGAAAAGAGCAGGAATAAATAAGAACTTAGATGAAATAAAGACATTGCTGTGCAAAGAATAAAAAGGTAAGTAAAACTATTGTTAACTATTGTTAATTATCTTGTAGAGAAAAGATACTAAAAAAAATTGCAAGTTCTAAGATGGAATATCAAAGGTAATTAAGACTCCTGGTAATTAAAAAATATGCTGGCCAAAATTTAAAAAGGAAACTGAAATAGACTTCACAAAATCCTAAAAAGTATTAACAGAAAAAGTTACAATAGAAAATAAAAAGTTATAAAACTAGATGAAATTATATATACAAAGAAATAGAGAAGCAAAAAGGGAATAAATTATCAAAGAAGGAATACAACACATTTTTTCCCAGAAATGCTATTAGATTATTCTGGGCTCTCATTGAAAGTTTTTTCAATAAACGAACCCAAGCAAGGCACATTGTACACATTTCAAAACACCAGTTATTAGAAGATATCCTAAAATCTCATGAAGAGAAAAAAATGAGACATCACAAAATATCAGGTAAATGAATAACAGAACTCTCAACGGCAATACTACAAGTCAAATATATATAAAGAGAAGAAACTAAAAATTATCCAGATAAACTGGTAATTTCATGTAAGGGTAGGATAAATATATTTTCAGACACTGATGCAATAAAAATATATTTTTTCCATAAACACTTTCTTAGGAAGCTTCTGGAAAATATACTCTTATAAAACAAACAAAGGAAAAAACAACAACAACACTGTATTAGGGTTCTCCAGAGAGAAAAAAAGAAATCAATAGTATATAGATAGATACATAGAAATAGATATAACAGATGTATCAATATAAAGATATTTTTAATAAGGAATTGACTCTCTTAATTATGGAGGCTGTCACATGATCTGCCTTCTGCAAGCAGGAGACCCAGGAAAGCTGGTGGTATAATTCTAAGAATAAGAGGGCCAATGATGTAAGTTCCTGTCCAAAGACAGAAGACTGATGTCCCAGCTAAAGCAGTCAGGCAGAGATAGAAAAATTTCTCCCTTCTTCTGCCTTTTTGTTCCATTCATGTACTCAGTGAATTGGATGGTGCCTATGCCTACCTGCATTGGGAAGGGCAACTGGCTTTGTTCTCTACCACTTCAAATGCTCATATTTTCCCGAAACAGTCTCACAGACACACCCAGAAATAATGTTTAGCCAATTATCTTAGCAACTCTTGATCCAGTAAAGTTGAGACTAAAATTAAACATCACAAACACAAAATTCAAGAAATAGAATCCAGTCTAAGAAAAAGGGAAGGAAAGTACTTGGTTAATGAGAAGGAGAAAATCTATCAAGAAAATTGTTTTTACTAGAGAGGTATATTGAATACAGTGAGATGGAGATCTGCAGGAAAACAACAGCACAATGGTATCTTAGATCCTGTGGAATAACCTGATATGGTTTAAATTTGTGTCCCTGACCAAATCTCATGTTGAATTGTAATCCCTAGTATTGGAACTGGGCCTGGTATGGTTTGAATTTGTGTCCCCACCCAAATCTCATGTCAAATTGTAATTCCAGTATTGGTATTGGGCCTGGTGGGTGATAACTGAATTATAGGAGTGGATTTCCCCCTTGCTGTTATCGTAATAGTGAGTTCTTACAAGATCTAGTTGTTTAAAAGTGAGTGGCATCTCCCACTTTGTTCTCTTCCTCCTGCTCTTGCCACGGAAGACATGACTCCTTCTTCTTTGCCTTCTACCATGACTGTAAGTTTCCTGAGGCTTCCCCAGCCATGCTGCCTATATAGCCTGAAGAACTATGGGCCAATTAAACCTCTTTTCTTTATTAATTACCCAGTCTAAGGTAGTTCTTTATAGCAACGCAAGAACAGACTAATACACTATCCCTCTGACAAGAGATTAATAATCAGAATATTTAAGGAGATCAAACAACTCTACAGAAAAAAAGCTAATAATCTGATGAAAAGATGGGAAAACAATTGAATAGATATTTCTCAAAAGAAGGCATAAAAATGGCAAACAGGAATAAGAAAAGGTGCTCAACATCATTGATCATCAGAGAAATGCAAATCAAAACTACAATGAGATATTATCTCACACAGGTTAAAATGGCTTATATCTAAAAAACAGGTAATAGTATGGATAGAAGTGAAAATCATTATGCTAAGTGAAATAAGCCAGGCACAGAAAGACAAACATCTCATGTTCTCACTTATTTGTGGGATCTAAATAACAAATCAATTGAACTCATGGACATAGAGAGTAGAAGAATGACCACCCAAGGCTAGGAATGGTAGTGGGAGGTTAATAGGGAGTGAACTGTAATCCCACTTTGGGAGGCCGAGGCAGGCAGATCATTTGAGGTCAGGAGTTCCAGACCAGCCTGGCCAACATAGTGAAACCCTGCCTCTACTAAAAATCCAAAAATTAGCCAGGTATGGTAGTGCATGCCTGTAATCCCAGCTACTCAGTAGGCTGAGGCAGGAGAATTGCTTGAACCAGGGAGATGAAGGATGCAATGAGTTGAGATTGTGCCACTGCACTTTAGCCTAGGTGACAGAGTGAGACTCTGTCTCAAAGAAAAAAGAGGCAGGGAACAGTCAGGGATGGTTAATGGGAACAAAAGAATAGAAAAAAAAATGAATAAGATCTATTTTATAGAACAATAAGGTGACTATATCAATAATAACTTAATAGTATATTTTTGAGTAACTATAAGAATATAATTGGATTGTTTATAACTAAAAGGATAAATGCTTGAAGGGATGGATATTCCATTCTCCATGATGTAGTTATTTCTCATTGCATGCCTGTATCAAAACATCTCATGTACTCCATAAATATATATACCTAATATGTACCCACCAAAAAATAAACTGTTAACTATATGGATATAGCCTTCAAGGGAATTTGTAAATAGAGGCATCTAGAGTGCCCTGATTCTGATAATAGTCCAAAATCTCTTTTCTAGCTGGACAGAATGAATAGTCTCCTCCCAAATCAGCCTCTTTTGGTTGATACTATCATAAAGAAAAGAGGGTTCTCCTTAATTCACAGTTTACAATTATTTTTATCTCCCTAATATAGCAAATTTTAATTTTTGTTCTATAACTTAAACAATAAAATTTAGAATAGTGACGATGATAAATAACAGTATCATTGTATTGGTTGTATTGTCTGATATCATTGTATCAGACAACCCTAGGTAAGATATCATATACCCAATATATTATGCAGCAAAACACATATAATTTACTTTGATCACCAAGAATCTACAAACCAAAGAAAAAATAATAGCAACATAGATTACAATGTGGATTTCCCTGTCTATATTTATAATGTGCATGTTAGGACATAATGGTGACTAAATCTGCTTCATTGTCTTTCCTGTAAAAAGATGGCAGAGAATTTCCTTGGACTCACTGCTTTAAAAAAGATTGCATGAACAACATGGTATTTTTTAATTATCTTAGGGGCACAAGTGTAGGTATATTGGAATCTGTTATCCTGTCAAAGGATAAATCACTGAAAATGCATTTTGGGAGGTTGGGTCAGCAGCCACATTTTAGAGGAAAATAAGGTATACAGAGTTTTCTTTGCTTTTTGACGGTTTAAAGCAGGGGTCATGTAATCAAATGCCCACAGAGGCCAAACAGTTAACATAATTAAAGCTAGAGAAGGCATCAAGGCCATAAGCAGAAATTATAACTGTGCTGATCAGGAATGTATATAATCTTACCTAAGGGATTCAAATTATCTAAAGGGAATAGCAATAGCAACATGGGGCAGTTCAAACTAAAAATATTTGCTGACAGTATTTGGGTAATAGGCCTTGTTCGCAACATTTGGTTTAAAAGAAAAAGGGTGAAATTCCAGAAGATGGCCACAAAGGTGCTC